GCAGCTTCAACCTGCTGGGCTCAGATGATCCTTCTGCTTCAGCCTTCCAAGTACCTGGAACTACAGGTGTGTGCCACCACACCCGGCTAATTTTTTTATTTATTGTAAAGACGAGGCCTTGCCGTGTTGCTCTGACTGGTCTCAAATCCGTGGACCCAGGCTGTCCTCTCGCCTCAGCCTTTCAAAGTACTGGGATTACAGGCGTGAGCCATCATGCCCAGCCTATGATGGGTTTATTGGAAGGTAGCCTCATTGTAAATTGAGCATCTGTTCATCATATATATGCATGCCACTTATATTCATACTGATTATATATGTTACTCTTCTAGAATTTGGAGGGGATCAACATCTAAAGTGTTCATAATAGCATTATTGGAAAAAATAAACCTCTAACAATGACATAATGATTAAACAGGCCAATAAAAGTCTACGCACGCAGCCTTGTAACTCTTTCCACTCTTATCTAGTTAGTCACCCATCTTTGTCTTGCACTCTGCCACTGTCTCTGAGAGCCACGCAACTTTCTTCTCACTTGGGTTTCTCTGAGTCTCCTCCCTGGTCTACAGTCTGACTTGTTTGGTCACCCATCTGTAGTCATACCACACAAGTGACACCGTCATCTCAACATGTCATCTCTGTTTTAAAACTTGATTACTCTGCCCTTAGGGTATAGTTTATGAGACTTGTTATGATCCAAATCCTTGTCACCTTTGCTGTCCTCATTTCTCTATCCTGCCTCTATATAATGGTTTTCTTGGGTATCCCTATTCTTTCTGCTCACTCCTACCACTCAGATAGTTTCTTGACTAACTCCTTAAATTACTTGAGGCCTGGTATTCAGTGCAGCTTCCTCTAGACAGCCCAGCGTGATCATCAGTGCAGGGCAACTTGGGGTGTGACTCACTTGCCCACTTCCTGTGACCAAGCTCACTGGTTGCCTTTTAGTTCCCCTTACTGTGCATTGCAGCTGTACATTTCTTCCTCCTTGAAACACTGGAATTTTTTTGTCTAAGTGATATCTACAGCTTCTTCTAATTTTGTTTCTGACTTTTAGATTCTCTTATGGGCTTCTCTTCATCTACCTGCCTCCTCAAATTTTTACATGTTAGACACCATCAATCACCCCACTGTTACCTGCAAGTCATTCCTTCAGTAAACATGAGTATCTGCTTTGTGCAAGATCTTAGCAAGGCAAAGTAGATGAAGCCCTGTCAGGTGAGAGCATACTGACTGAGAGACTAAAAAAGGAATGATAGGGCCCTTTGCTGAGATTAAAGGCATGCTGAGGAAGGGCCAGGTATGTTGGAGGAAGGAGACAAAGACTCCTTTCTGGGCATAATAAATTTGAGGAAACAGGAAAAACTTCACTGATATTCCAGCTTGTTTCTGGAATTAGTTCATCTGATTCTGACGCTAATATAGTATTTTCTTAAGAAAATACTATATTAAATACTATGGGTTCTGTTGTCATACTGCCCTTATTTAAAAGTCCAGGCTCTAATGTTTACTAGTTGTGGGCTTTGGGCAAGTTACTTAACTCTTGATCATTCTTAGTTGCCTCATGTGTAAGATGGTGACCATAATAGTATGTATTTCCTTACTGGGTGATGTGATGAGTACATGAGATATATAGTATTTAGAGAGCACAGTGCCTTGTGCATAGAAGTCACCTGTAAGTTTCAGCTGTTGTTAGTTTTATTTTTCTGATGGTCTCTGTCACCTGCATGATCCAGAACCCTTTGGGGTTAGTGAAGCTTCCTTTCCCATGACCCCTAGCATCTCTGTTCGTACATTGCACTTCCATATCCTTACCCTGGGATGGTCTGCTGGGAATGCTCCCTTCTCACCTCAATGCCTTGGTGAAATTCGGTCCCTTGGTAGATTTCCCTAAGGATATCCTTCCAATTTTCTGTATTCTCGACTCCTGGTCCTTACTATCCCCGAGAGAGAGAGGGAAAAAAAAGCCAGATTTGGAATGAATTGCTGTAATGGTCCAGGAGAATGAGGAAGCTCTGGCAAACCTCCAGGGAAGTGTAGTGGCCTAGCTGGACCTGTAAGGATGCAGGAGGCTGGTTTCAGAAAGTAGTGAAGGATGGACAGGCCAGGACAGCCACATGTCTTCAGCAGCTATATTTGAAAGTCTAAATGTCAATGAAACGAGAGGGAAAAGACTTAAGAAACAGTCAAGGTATGTGCATCAGATTTATTTCCCTATTCTCTATAGGCACATCTTTCTGTCCTCTGTCAATGCCATTTTTGTTTGTCTTCTAAATTCTTTTTTTTTTTTTTTTTTTTTTGAGTTGGAGTCTCACTCTGTCGCCCAGACTGGAGTGCGGTGGCCTCTCCCAGCCACCGCAGCCTTAACCCACTGGGCTCCGAGTAGCCGGAATTACAGGCATGTGCTACCACGCCCGGCTGATTTTTGATTTATTATAGAGATGAGGTCTCGCCAAGTTGCCCAGGCAGGTCTCGAACCCGTGGGCTCAGGTAATCCACTCACCTCAGCCTCCCAAAGGCGCGGGATTACAGGCTGAGCCACTGAGCCCAGCTTGTCTTCTAAATTCTAAGACTTACTTTTTTTGATTGGAGTCTCTGTCACCCAGGCTGGAGTACAGTTGCACTCATGGCCACCCCAGCATTGACCTGCTGGATTCAGGGGATCCTTCTGCCTCAGCCTTACAAGTAGCTGGAACTACAGGCGTGCACTACTATGCCTGGCTAATTTTTTGAGTTGTTGTAGAGATGAAGTCTCGCCAAGTTGCCCAGACTGGGCTCAAATCCCTGGTCTCAGGCAGTCCTCTCATCTCAGCCTCCCAAAGTGCTGGGATTATAGACGTGAGCTTCCATGCCTAGCTAAGATTCACTATTGATATGGATGGTTTCGGAGGGAAACAACCCTGTATCACAGGTGTACACCCAAACGTAAGATACTTCTTGGGACCCAAATAATCTTGCACATTAGAATCCAGGAAATATGGTGGATTTGGGACTGTCATGTGGTCTGAATAATCTTGTGAGTCCTAAAGAGATTATTGGGTGCCTCCTACTTCTGTTCAAACCAAATAGACAGTCTTCATCTTAGCCAGAGCCTCTGCCCTGAATGTCTTTCTAAAAGTGAACACTCAGCACATAAGGTGTTGCTTTGAGAAACATTTGTGCATTCTTGAGTGAGACTACCCGGGTCCTACAGATGAGCTGACCTAAGGGCTGTAAGGAGATGCAAGTCTCCCTTTAGAGAGTGGCACAATGAAAGGCGTTTTCCATCTAAGCCATTTAGGCCATGGTGGAGAATCAAGTGCCAAGGGAGCGGGAGCACTCACAGTATGCCATTTTGTTGGAATCAGACTATCAAGTGCTGGAGAAAGGCTCAGCTGTACTGGGCAGTTCCTTTAGACTTTTTCTAAAATACTTGCTTTGGCCTTCCCTTCTGTGCTTCTTGCATACCTCGTTCCTCTACCTCAGTTATAACACTTGTGCTACCTGCCAGCATGCTTCTCCCACCATTAGACTGTGAATAGAGGCTGTGTTTACTCATTGCTAGTTCCCAGGGCAGAGGCTATACTGTGAATGAGGTAGGGAGATATGCAGCACTGTTCTTAAGCTGTGCAGGGTATGGTTTCACACAGCATTTTAGGGCTTGGACAGAGTTGGAGCTGGGCACTCAAGTGGTATTTTTGGAGGGCCTGCAAGCCTGGTGCTAGGAAGCTGAGTGTGGTAATGTCAGCCCAAAGACATTGAGCCTTTACAATGTACCTGCGCGATTCCAAGTGCTTTCTTTGTAGTAACTCCTGAAATCCTCACATCCATTGAGGTATTATAGATAAGGAAGCGGGGCACAGAAAAGTTCAGTACCTTGCCCAAGGTTACTGGTTGGGGCTAGAAAGTCCCAGCTGTCTGATTCCAGAGGTATGCTCTCATTTCAATGACAGCTTGCCACCACACAACATGCTCAGGAGTTAGAATTTGATGAGGTTGGTGAGGAGCTGGAGAAAACTGCCGTGGCAAACTGTTTCAGAAAGATGTATTGGCAGTAGGTAGATGTGTTCCCAGAGATGGGAGATGAGTTATGAGGAGGTGTGGTAATGATTCAGGTGAACACCGGAATCAGGCAGCAACACTGAGGATGAGCAGAAGGATAGATTTGAGAGTGGCCCTGTCATTCCTGCTGCTTGGTTCTCAGCTATGTCTGCTTGGTACCTCCATGCTCATTATCAAGTTTCAGAACCACTGACCTGGTCTAAGTCACTATGGGCCAGGACCGGGTGACCCCAAGTCTTCTTGCTTTGGCTCTGTGTCTGGGTCCCTCAGCCTTGCCCTGTTCTTGGAGCTCTTGGGCTCCATGTTTTTGCTGCTTATTCACTCTTTCACTCACTACTGCATTGTTTACTGTGGTCAGCTGCCACTTCTCAGCAGGCCCTGAATGAAATACAATGACCTTTCAGCCTCTGTACCTTGTGCTTTCTCTGTTCTTCCTAGAACCTTCTACTGGGCTTCCCAGTTCAGTCTCCTAGTTCTCTACCATTCATCTATTTCCAGTAACAGAAGTCTCAGGTGGGACACACAAGGTGCTTCACAGTGGGTGGCTCTTGACTCCGCAACTCCTCTGTTCCTCCTGATGGCAACAGTGAAGTCATGGGAATTGTCCGAGACTCTGGGCTCTGCTTGGCCTGGGAAGCTCTGTCCCTTCCCTTCTGGTTGCTAAGGAGTTGGTGTGGTCATGCCGCAGTTCTGACTCTTGTCATTCCTTTTCCCAGCAGCAAACAGAGTACTTTGCTAGGAGGGCAGGAGGCAGAAAGGAGTGTAGGTGGTGGTGTGATGATTCCAAATTTATATGTGACAAGATGCTTACTTTCTAAGGTGAAATGTGATTAAAGACAAATGGCACAAAGTGTTCAGCAAAGCATCGAGGTTATGAAAAGGACTGGTAAATTATTCAACTAAGCTTTGTTATCAGTGATGCAAGTGTCAGCGTTTATCAGATTGATACTTTTGTTTTACAGACCTTGGAGATACTGGAAGTCTATCTGGATTCAGATTCTTTTTGTAAGCCAGAGGATGAGAGATTGAGAACGTTCAGCTTTCCTGCAAACTTTGGTACAGATCGCTTCCAAAGAGCACAATGAGCACAGTAAGTGTTATTAGGTCTTGAATTTTATTTTTCAGGGCTAAGCAACTAGCTTACCCTGTAGCACATTAATAAGAATACCATAATGATGCTTCTAAGTAACCCTAGTTTTTAAGGGTGTGTATGGGGTCCTTACACCATCTTGCTTGCTTTGAACTGAATTCCAGATGTCAAGCGAGGTACCCCAAAGACAGAAGATTAAGAAGGAGGACCTAGGGTTTTGAAATTTCATAACTTCAGATCAGGTGTCAGTGTCCTAGAAATACTAAGACTCTGGGTTTTTTTGTTTGTTTGTTTGTTTTTGAGTTGGAGTCTCACTCTGTCGCCCAGACTGGAGTGCAGTGGCTGCTTCCGGCCACTGCAACCTCAACCTGCTGGGCTCCGGCGATCCTTCCGCCTCAGCCTTCCAAGGAGCTGGAACTATAGGTGCCTGCTACCATGCCTGGCTTATTTTTTGATTTATTGTAGAGACAAGTCTCACCAAGTTGCCTAGTCTGGTCTTGAACCCCTGGACTCAGGCAGTCCTCTCGCCTCAACTTCCCAAAGTGCTAGGATTATAGGCTTAAGCCACTACGCCTGGCCTTGCAACCCAGTTTTAGTTTTTCCTTCTGTTTTGTTTTCCTGAGTAGTTTTGGTTCAGTGTGAGCGTGATGGTAATAATCAATAATGAACATTTTCTTTTTTTTTTTTTTTTTTGAGTTGGACTTTCAATCTGTCACCCACGCACGCTCACAGCCACCCCAGCGTCAACCTGCTGAGCTCTGCAATTCTTCTGTCTCAGCCTTCCAAGTAGCCGGAAATACAGGTATGCACTACCATGCCTGGCTAATTTTTTTATTTATTGTGGAGACGAGGTCTTGCCAAGTTGCCCAGGCTGGTCTCAAACCTGCGGGTTCAGGCAATCCACTCACCTTGCCCTTCCAAAGTGTTGAGATTACAGCCTGAGCCACTGAACCCAGCCTTTAATGAACATTTTCTTACATTTAGTGACCACGGTCAGTCAGTCATTATAAATAGTGTTCAGTGCTTTTCTCAGACCTCTGTGGCAGCTCTGGTTTGATGTAGTCCAGACTTCACCTGGAACCCCTGGAGCGCTAGAGAAGATTGTCTGAATGTCCCCCTGTCCCAGTTTACTCCCAGTTAGCAAACCTTCCTGGGTAGGATGAAGCTTAACTAACAACTCCCAGAGAGAACAGCAATGAAGATGCCAGTGACACCCTCTGACTCCTTTGGGTTCTTACCCTCTTTCATCACTTGCTGACCACTCTGGGCCTCCTTGTGCTTCAGGGCGCACTGTTGATAGTGGTACATAAAACAGCCTGTTTCCTTGGACCCACCCTTCTAAAGGATAGGTGATCTCCCACCTTGATCCTTATCTGCAGATTGCCACCTGTGGGGAAATAGATGGTCTAAGCCTAACCTCTGAAGCCCCATCTCTGCCCAGGCAGGATCAGGACAGGTAGAGCAATGTGGGCTTTTGTGAGAGTGTGTGAAGAATTGGTTGAAGTTTCTCAAAAGTTATGGTGTAAGTAACTTACGTGGTCATGATTGGGTGGCCAGTTTTCACCAAAAGCTATGGGCCTCTGAGGGCTCTGCTAGTAAGAAGGAGAGGAGAAGCTGGGCTCGGTGGCTCAGCCTGTAATCCCGCGCCTTTGGGAGGCTGAGGTGA